CCACAAAGTTGATAAGAGGACTGGAGCACATTCCAACAAGGACAGGCTGAGAGGGTTGGGGCTGTTCATCCTGGAGACAAGAAGGTTGTGTGGAGACCTCATAGCAACCTTCCAGTATCTGAAGGGGCTACAGGGAAGACAGAGAGAGATTCTTCATTAGGAACAGTAGTGATAGGACAAAGAATAATTGAAAGAGGAGAAATTTAGGCTAGATATGAGGAAGAAATTTTTCACTGTGAGGAGGCTGGTGAGACACTAGAACAGGTTGCCCAGGGAAGTAGTGGATGCCCCAACCCTGGCAGCATTCAAAGCCAGGTGGGATCAAGCCTTGAGCAACCTGGTGTAGTGGGAGATGTCCCATGGCAGGGCAGGTTGGGACTAGATTATCTTTAAGGTCCATTCCAACCCTCTACCATTCTGTAATTATACTTCTGATATTACAATGTATGCCAGCCCCTAAATGGTATTAATGCTTAAAAGAGGTATTTTATAATATATGCACCTGCATATATTGCTTCAGTGTGGAATGACTCCACATGTGGTATCAGCAAGGACAGGAACATAGACCGCAGAAATGAACATACAGTTCCTGGTATGAATTATGGTCACTTTGACACAGCATTATTAAGTGTGTTTACCTCCTGACCCATTCACAGTAAAAAACATGAAAACTCAGGTTTTCCTTCATGCATTTGTATTGCTTTGTATATCATCCTTTTTCACCTTTTCTGCCCTTATTTACAGATGAAGTATCTGGTGGCTCCTGTATTTTGCTGATCCTGCTGTGCATAGCAACTGTTTTCCTTAGTATTGGAGGAACTGCATTGTACTGCACCTTTGGTGACATGGAATCTCCTGTGTGTACTGATTTTGCAGCCAACATGGATTTCTATTATACACAGATACTGCAGCGTGTGGAAGAACTTAAACACTGGATAGCCTTCTCGTAGTCGAAATGAGCAGAGACAGCATGCTGAGAACTCACCAATGGTTACTGGAGAGGGTAGAAACAAACTGTGATTTCAAGTTCTTTAACATTTGCCACCTGCAGGTGATGTGTATTTTATGATATACTTTCACTTTTACTTAGAAATCAAGAAAATTTTAGTTTAGCAATCAGGTGGCAAAAGGTTCACATCTGTTCACAACCGTAGCAGCGTGGTATGGGAACATAAAAAGTTATTATCTTCACCCCTTTGAGAGTAGGCAAGTAGCTTTTCATCAGCTTGAACAAGTGAAGAAGAAAGAAGAAAGTTGACTGTCTTCTATATGCTCTCCCATTGCCACACATTGTGTAAGCAATCTCTGGAAGCTTAGTAAAAGGACAGCTTTAATTTACAGCTGTTTGTGCAAAGGTGTTGCCTCCAGCTATCATGCAATAAGTCTGTGTTTTATGGAAACATTATTTTTCTTGTAAGTCTTATTGGTTTTCTCCATTTGATTTCTCCTGGTGAGCCATGTAATTATTTGGGTGGAGTGAGAAGAGTGCAGTGGCATTCATGGAGCCCTCATTTGTGATTACCAGGCTGACCCTGTATCTTGTAGCTTATGGTGAATATCATGATGGGATAAATCTGCTGGCAGATTTCACTAAACTTCCTGGACCTTTACTCTCAGTATTGTGTGGGTTGTTTTAGAAATGGAAGGTTAAAAAAGAAATCATTGATCTCACTAAACACAGAAACAAAAGCAAGATATTTACTAAATTATTCTTATTAAATTGTAAAGTGGCTTTGGCCAATTTTAAAGCACCTGGTAACAGGTGTGGGGCTAACTGGGTTTTCTGTCCAGCTATGTCACTGACTTGCAGTAATCACTTTGTGCCTCAGTTTCTCCCCTAGAGATGGGGGATAATGATCCTTGCCTTTGTCTGTGAATATTTATTGCAATTAGGGCTCATGTCTGATTCAGCCTAGATGAGTGCACAGGATCACAGAATTGTGTGGCTGTAGCTTCTGTCAATGAGTGCATGTTATGCAAAGTGGGAGTGATCCAACAGAAGAGATTCAGAGGCTCACTACAGATCCACAGCATACCCAGGACTCAAAGCCCAGGGCACTTGTTCCAGCAGATAGAGCACATTTGTATCTATTTGCCCTGCAGTTCTGAGACCTCTATTGTAAAAACTGTTCTTTTTCTATCAGCTATACAAACAAATTCAGATCAGTACGAAGAGTCATTTTAAATGGTTATTTCTATCACTTGTTGCTCAGCCCTCCCTGCACGGTGGTGTGCAAGACAAACACCGACAGGACAGTGAAGGTGAGAATTAGATACACAGGCCTTTGGCCCACACTCTGGTCAAAATGTGGCAACTGTTCTTACACAGAGCATAATGGTCTAGCCCTGTTGAAGGTTTTAGTGTGAAACGATTCCTTTACACCTCAGGAAACAGCATTATTGAGGGGTCCACTTCACTCCACTCCATGATGTCCTGCTTACTAACCTTGTATGATGCAGTGTGGTCAGGTTTAGGATATTATTTTTAAGATGCTGCGAAGTGAAACCTTCAAGATACTGCTCAGAATTATAACATTAAATGATCATGCTTTCTGGCATTTGCAAGCAAATTGTCCCTCTAGTGAGCTTGATTGTTCCTAACGCACTGTTAACGGGTTTTTAAAGTGAAAGCTAAAGTCATGTTTTTTATAGAATAAACTGCATGTACGATTTCTCTTTTTGTTTTCACTGCAGAGGCCTAGTTTATTTATACCCTAGGGAGCCTCGTGTGCAGCTTTATATTAAACTAGCAAATTTTAAATGCCCAAATTAATGAAAAGTTTTACTTTCGGAATGAAATTTGAGAATGGTGGTTTGGTATATTTTTCTTTGTTGTCCTCAGAGTATTATAATGCTGGGCTAATCTAAAGGAGAAAGGGAAAGACACTTTTATATTTTAGAGTGTTACTGGCTGGTTCAGTTCATTATTTGAATTTCGGGTTCGTTTGTTTATTTATTTAGTTTTGTTCTTTTAAAGAGTATCTTAATTTTCTTTTTTAGCAATTTACTCGCCGAGTAATTAAAAAGCATGCGTTCAGTTAAGGTATGTATTTATAGTGACTATGTAGTTAGAATATATTTTTGGTTTCTGTAACTTTGCATTGAGTGTTTCAGGATATTAAGTTTATTCCTAAAGAGACAACTGTTGATTTCAACTTAAAAAAAGTCTTTTGTGCACTTCATCACCAAAAAGATCAAGAGGTATATATAGATCTATTTATTCAAAAGTATATCGGACATGGAGATCAAAGATCCTCTACTTCTAGGTTCATTTAACTAAAACTATTTTAAAATAATTATTTTATTTAAAACAGTAAAGCTATTTAAAGTCAAAGCAATTTTTAATAAGCATTTCAGTTTCAAATCAGTGGTCCAAATCCTGGCATGTTCACTTTGGGGTATATTCCTAGTGCAAAGACTCACTAATACCAGCAGAACTGCCTGCAAGAATCATGAAGAGGTTGGGCAGCACTTAACCAACACAGACCCATTGAAAAATGAGCGGCCAGGCATTTTGTGTAACTCAGCTACACTTGTAACTTGGAGCATCTCTTCAGCCCTCCCAACCTATGCCAGGGTACCACACCTGCAAAGTCTTCCCGGATTTGAGGGAGCGGAAAGGGCACATACGCACAGGCTGTCCAGCTCCTGATCTGAGCTGCTTGCTCCTCAGTTGCAACCAGGTCTTTGAGTCTGGATCCAATTTCTGTTGGTATTCTTTTAGAAAAAGCTGATGGTACAAATTCTTGCTTCATGTGACAGTTCTGTTAGTGCAAATAGTTTGCATGGTCTGTAGTACAATATCAAACTTGTAGCTACGAACATGGCAATATTTGCATTGCATTGGGTGACCCTAGGGGTTAGGATCTTATAAATACAAGGTAAAAGAAATTGTGGATTTGAACAATTATTCCTCTTGTCTGAGTAGTTTGAGGTAAAATAATACCAAGCAACAGCTAAGATTGCTGAAGGAGAAAGACACCAGAGGAAAAGGCTACTCCCTCCCACACACTTGGTGCATTTTAAAACCCTTTGTGTGTAACTCCTTGTTTAGTCTGTTTCCTTCCCTGCCACTGTCTTTGTGACTGTTCTGCTTGGCAGTAGGGGAAACATACTAAAAAATTGGCTGGAGTAAAACCATTCATAGTTGGCAAGAAGTTCAGGGAATTGTTCCATACTTGACAGTAGTTAAAGATAATTTCTTAAAATCTGACTGGACTTCAGGCTGCTAGTGTACCTTCAGAGAAGTCGTGACCACTTAATCACCTGCAGCACTCTACTAGGTACCCCCCACCTTCCTATTTATTCTTTGAGCATAATCATTTTGAAGAAATTCTTGTCATAAAGCAAAACCAACAGGACTTTAATGTAGATTCAGTATATGCTGCCAAATTGCATAATTAACACCCTCACCCCAGATAGCCTAGACTACACCAAGACCAGCACTGTGCTGTAGTGTAGCAACACTGTGCTACAGGCTTGTTTTCAATATGGTGTGCGTAAGGAAGCAGACATTCCACAGCCCAGATATGCCAGCAGAAGTTTGTGATCTAGACACAGCCTGTGTTTGAAATTCTTTCCATTACCTTTGCTTTAATACTTGGAAAATGCATAACCCTGGTGACAAGCAGTAGGAAGTAGTGTAACAAAAAGGGAAAGTCTTGTTTAGGGTTTTTGGTTCTAAAGGGCAAGCTTGAACTATCAAATAAGCAGAGTACAGTGGAAGTCCAGATTCTTGTGTGACTGGGTACTGTTCCACTCATTCCACCTAAAGGGATGTTACCCTCCTACAAAAACATGTTTGCCTACTTTGTACTGTAATGTAAAACCAAGAACATCTGAAAGGAATCAGAATTATTTGTAACAAATTTAACTTAAGCTTCCTTTAGCAAAAGGAGTAAATAATTGTCTTTGAAACCATCACCCAAGCTTGTAATTTAAATACTGTAGCAAAAAAAAAATAAAAAAATAAAAACTGTCCCAAAGAAAATATATGAATCTTTTTGGGTACTGTGATTTCTAAATGCCTAAAAAGACTGAGAAGATTTTTCTGTGAAATTCAAGTAAATGAGTACCTCCAATAAGAATTTCATGGTCAAACCCAAACCAGAATGGAAAATGGGGATTAAAAAGCATAAGGACTGGCTTTTGGTGTAGTTTTCTTGAGTGGGTTGATTTGTCTTTGTTTCAACAGTTAAATTCAAACCCAGCTTCCTCACAGAGCCTGGTTTCTTTACTCAGGTGGGTTTCAAGTACTAAAATGTGGCCTTACTGCATCATTATGAAAACAGATTGACAGGCAGTGAGTTTCAGGATTTCTAGTCGCTGGTGGGTGACCTGGATAGTGGTCACAGCCAGTTTGCTCTTTGAGTTCAATGAAGTAAATAAAAACCCCACACACTTGGAACTCAGTCCTACCCCAAAGCCTCTGATTTGACCAGGAGCATGCCAACACTACATTTTGCAACACTCATCCACCCTCCTTGGCTTTTCCCCCCAAAGCCATGGAATGAGGCCAACCAGAAATTTAGACTGCTGAAAGAAGTAGTAAAAGCCTAAGAGAAAATGAGGCAGGTTTATAAATTTTGATTTGTTTCTTCTTATCTTTGTGTGGTTTTCAAGTTGTTTTTCATAGTCAGGAAATGGGAGAACTACAATGAAAAAGAAGGAAAAAAAAGTAAGAGATTTTCATATAACTTAATTGAAACTGGTGAGATAACATGTCACACCATACTAAAACTTATATAGTATCTGGCAAGCTGAGGGTGCAGCCTAAAAGTGGTCTTTATGTGTAGAAGTTAATTGCTGTTATAAACAGTTCTTCTGTAAAGACTGACATCTGGTTTCAGAAAGACGAGCAGCTGATCTTCTACTTGAGTTTGGATCTGACTCCTGTCTAGAAGCATTGGTAATCTTGGGGTACTTGGATGGGCTTCCAGAGCTGGCTACT